CTTTCAAATAGAAACAAAGCTCTTTGATTTCGTGTAACAAACTGTTTACAGAGATCCTGTGTAACTTCCTTGTGATGTCATCGGCAAAGCAACAGCACGGTTGTGTGTGCACACATTGTCTCACTGGTAAACATGGTGTAAACAAACATGCACACGCAAGCAGACACAGAGCAACACTGCTTGTAGTACAAGTTAGTTTGCAGAACAAGTCTTGTTTGAGGACAGATGTCTTTTTACTTTGGACATCGTCTTCCTGAGTGCATGCTGTGACTCACTTAAAGTTAGGATGATGGCGCCACAGTATGTTATAGTGTGTATTTTTTAAATGTTGCGCCACCGGGCGGTTTTATACTTTTGCTTCCGTTCGGTTTTTGATCCAAGTGTGAGAGACGCAGTTCCTGTTTGCCTTTGGGGTCAGGGTTCCACTTCCTGTTTAGAAGCAAAACAAGGCAGAGCCGTGGCGGTTGGAAATACCAGACAGGTCATCAGAGCCACTGAGTGGGAAATTGGTATACAGGACTCAGGCACAGTCCACCCGTGTCATTCCCACTCCTGTCTTGAGTACATCAAGCTCTCTTGTCGTTTGCCAGGCTTTCTTTGGAGTAGGGCATTATCTGGGGTTGGGCAGATTTTAATCCAGTTTTGTCGTTCTTGTTACGTCAAACTTTTCCACGAACAACAAGCCTGGGACGTGTCTGTAGAGTTGGGAACAATCCAGCCGTGTCATTCCTGTGCTTATCAAGAGTGCATCGGACTGTTCTGTGGAGAGATTGACACTCGGTGATGACAGCGCCGCACGCAGGATAGCATGTTTCCCTTTTGGGTCATGTGCGGGGAAAGTTGTCGTGACGTCAAGGCAGAAACTTCGTCGTAGGGTCGGTGACTCAAAGTCTGCAAGCTCAGAAGGCTTCAACCGTCAAGGACTAAACATCGCTTGGTGATTCAAAGTCTCCAAGACCAGAAGGCTCAAACCATCAAGGCCAAGACTTTGTTTGGTGATTCAAAGTCTGGGGAGAGATTCAGAGTACTTTAAAAGTCCTGCAATCCGTCTGAGGAAGGCATTTCTCTGCTAGAATCCAAGGAGACATTTCTTCTTTGCTGCATTTTGCACTGTTGAAGCTCATGATGGCCAAAAGGCAAAGGGTACCGTATGGAATGAGCCCTGTGATGAAGGCACAGTTGACGGTGTTTGTGGACAATATGCAACGTCTGATCCTGGCGCTTAGTAGGTGAGTGTTGCTTTCATTTGGGGACGGTGAGAAGTATTTTCCTCTGTACACTCAAGTTCATAGTTACTGTTCAGTACATGCATGGGACTTTACGTTATGCCAACATACTTACAGAAATACTGGTATGTTTTCCCCATATGGCTTTACTTTAGCTGTTAAGAAGAGGTTGATTTATTCACACTTTGAAAAGCACAAGGTATTAGTTGCACAGAAGTCAAAACAAACGTTAATTCTTTGACCACATGATAACAGCTACAATGTAGGGTTGATTTGGTTTGGTTTCTGTGTAATTGGATCAAACTTCATGCTTGTCAAATGTTACTGATTCTTCAGAAAAGCTGTTGTTTGTCTAATACTGCAATGAACATTTTCCTAGTGAATTATAGACATGACATGTAACACTGAGGGAACCTTTGCTTGCCCCAAAGCAAACTCCAGGCATGCTTGGATTCCACATAGGGATTGAAAACATACCATTGCCGTATCGGTGACAGTGAGATAGCTACTGAAGTAGGCTGTTTCTTGGCACCTGGTTTGTCAGGAAGTTTTAACTCAGTAGTACCTTACCAAAAGCCTACAGATTTATAGGTCTGGCATAAAACAGTCCTAATGTCTACAATTAACACTGTTCTAACTTACACAATAAATATGATAGCCACTGCTACAGATAGACAAGGAAACCACCCTATTATTAGTTGTGGTGTGTTTATCCTCAGTGGTCAAACAGTTAATCCTTTTATGTTTTTTCACATGCAGCTGCTGATAAAATTAATGGGCAGTAATAGTTTCCCTGATAGTTATTTTTTATTTTAGACACAGTCGCACAGATACACTGCGTTGGTCTGCCACCACAGACACAGAGGAAAACCACCTCACCACATCAGGTGCCCTTGTCTGGTCTAGTGAGCAGCTCTAGCCATGTACAGTTACAAATCCACAGGGTCTTACAATCCCCAGGCTTATGTAATGGGTGTGTCGATCATGAGAGACAGAGAGGGAAAGTCGCAGAAACCACCTTGTCATTTGTGGTGTCCTTGTCTGGTCTGGTTCCCGTCTGCCCTCAGATCAGGACAGGTGCCGCTGGGGACAGTTGGCAGGACAGCTGGCAGGACAGCCATGACTCACCGGCTCAGTCTGACAGAGAACTTCTAATTAACACTTGTCACTCTAAATTTAAAAGTTCAAGGGGAAATTTTTTTTGAACTTGTACATTGTATTTCAAGTTCCTGCCTTTCCATGATCTTAATTTAAACAAGTGCCACAAGGGACAGGGCAGTGTGACTCATGTCTGACAGAGAACTTGGACTCACTGACAGTAAAGGGAGTTGTCTGTTGATATTTTACCAGTGTATGTGTACAGTTGTCTTCCAGGTCTTATTTTACCCTCGAGTCATGGAAGTGAGTATCCTGCCAGAACTACAACTTCTTGGGAAAGTTGAAGCAGGGATTCACGGTAGACTAAGTTGTCAGATAAGGAGGATTGGAAAATTCTTCGAAGTAAGAAATCCGCATTTCAGGTGATCTTGGGTCATTTTTTTAAAATTTAGTCCCTTATTCTTGTACTAGTATACTACTGATGGAGAAGGGCCACTTAAAAAAAGAAAAAAAAGAAGCCCTACAACTGCTTGGAGATGAGCTTGTTTGATCACGTGACCAGTCAAGCATGTCGGTTGCCAGCAGTTGCCGGGATGTTTGCTGTTTTGTGTGGGAAACATGGTTTTGTCCTACTTCTCCATTTGTGATGACAACAAGACCGGAAGTGGTAAGCGGTAGTCCCTGTCCCTTCTTGGAAGCGTAGGTGAGGTGTGAAAAAGAAGAGCAACTTCATTGTATCTGCTGACCTTGTTTAGATTGGGAGGGGGTAGGTTGGTTTAATCAAGGCTTTAGCCACACTCCAAACCAGTTTCTGGGCCACGCATTTGGACTGGAATCTAGTATATTGAATCTGGTAAAGAAGGACAATGAGAATTCCGTGTTTTGGACCGTTGTTACACAGACCATGTTCTGTTAAGACATTGCCCAGGCACTTTAGTAGTCGAGCATTCTGTCAACAACCCTGTTGGCATGGCAACTGGAAAGGATGAACGTTTCGAAAGACCTGTTTCCCAGAAGAGTGGCGACGACAGAAAGATCCGTTGTTATTTTAGGGTTGACATCACGATGCCGTCATGAGTTAGCCACCTTTGGTTTGACTCTATCCGCTGGAATGCGTTGCGCAATTTGCTGTCGTTCTGCTGACAGGCCTTGGAATGAGTTCAACCACTGGTACTTCTGTGCACTTACCTTCCATCACTCTGAATGTTCAACAATCAACACACACTAATGCCTTCCCAGTTTCCTTTGAGAAATTAGTTAGCATCTGAAGTATGTGATGTTTCACTGTCAGGAAACACTAAAATTTAACTTTGGAACGACACCGTGTCTGTTCTCAGTAACACAACCTCAGCTGGTTATGCTACATGCTCTCTAATCTCCAAGCAGATCATATGGTGGCAAAGCAGTATCCATTGGCCAGAGATGGCTACTGCCTTGCCACCGTATGATCTGTTTGGAGATTACATGCTTTCTAAGTATCCTGGTAGAAGTTGGCAACATGTCTAGAAAGATGGAGGTCACCTGTGGGCTATCATTTTCCAGAAAAATTTCTTATTTGGTAAGATTGGAGTTGGCAGACTTTGGAATGACTCCAAACTGAAATCTACTCATGTATGTCTCTCTGTCTTCTGAGTAGTCAGTCAGGGAAGTAATGCAGCACTCCCAACTGACAAGGTCACTTATGAGGTGTGTAACTGGTGTATTTTAGGAATGTCCTGTATATTGTAGACTGGTGAGAATATCTTGAAGGGCTTCCGCATACTTGTTCTCTAACTTTTCCGTCTGCTTTCCAAGTATTGTGGACGGAACAGAAAGGGAACGGAAAGAAAAATCTCTGCATCACCTTTTCCAAAATCTTCTTTTCATTACATTTATTACTATTGATTAGTTGATTTGAATAAATATTGATCAATATACATGTATATAGATTGACGAAGACATTGGTGCATCTTTGTAGAGCAGCACCTGCTAGTCAGTCAATTGTATGGACATGTGTGCACATGTTGCAGATGGTAGATAAAACTCTGTATCTTAGATCTTCTATCAGAACAAACAAGACAATGTGAGAAGAGCTCAGTTGTGCATCACCTTACTTCACCTATATGGATGACTTAACAGAAGACAGTGATGCATGAGTTTTCTTCAGTGTGTGGGTGGCTCAATGCTAAAATAAGGCTAGGTCTTGACTGTGGTAATTGTTTCAGCCTCCAGTATGTCTGGCTGGCTGGATGCCAGGGAGGAGGGCCAGCAATGACTTTCCTATGTAGGAGAGGGAGGGGAGAACATTTTGATGTCTCTATTCATGCTCACACACTCCTCATAACATTTTACTGCAGTCAACCGGTGCAATGACCAAGTGGGTAGAGTGCTCGCCTTGCATTCGGAAGGTTATGAGTTCGATCCCCGGCCAAGTCATACCAAAGACTTTAAAAACGGTACATACTGCTTTCTCTGCTTAGCATTTAGGAAAGAGTATGGGAGTTAAACACACACCACTGCCAGTGGACTATCCCCCTGCTGTAGTGATTGCACAACTGTGTGGCCCAAGGGCTACTGAACCGGAGATGGGTGCCACCCGATGCACCTCATGGTGCAGGAAGGACTAATACGATTTTAATTTGCAAGTGGCATTTAAAAAAACATTGAAATTAAAAGTATGCATTTTTTCCTTCGCAGTGACAGGAAACTCAGCAATGGCTCGAGCACGAGCGGCAGCGACGTGTTCATCGAGGACAGCACCTGCAGTACCAACCTCAGACACAAGGAGGCACTGGTGGCGGCGAAGTCGCCCACCAGGAGCTGGGAGGAGAAGAAGGCCGTCAACGGCGTCCACGAGGCCAGGGTCAGGAAAATCTCCCCCCTGAAGGAGGAGCCGCTGCCCCCGCCGCCCCCCTCCCCACCCCCTGCGGAGGTTGAACCCCCCACCATGGAGTTCCTGGCGGACTTGCCGCCCCCGCCCCCTGAACTGCTGCATGATGAGGAGGGTGGGGCCGACATGGAGTCACCACCCCCTCCCCCGCCGGTGGAAGAATCACCTCGACAGGACGACCACAGGTAAGAAAGACATTTATTTTATTTGTTTTATTCCAACAATTCACAGCAATGGATCACAGCATGGTGACGACACACAAGTTTTTTCAACTTAGTTTATGCCACCGCCTATGCAGAGGGCAAATATAGGACAGGACAATACTCATTTTCACTTGAGTTAAGTGAGGAAAGTCGTGTAAAGTGCCTTTCCCAAGGGCACAAGATCGGTGGCATTTCAGGACTCGAACCCCGGTACCTCTTGGTTCTTATTCAAGCACTCTGCAGTTACGCCACATGACTCCACATTTATTGTCAAGGTGCTTTCTACGCTCTCTGTGTTACAGTCTCAAGGGACTTGAAGAAAATGGTTACAGTACACAAGTACATGTGACCTCTATAGATAGGATTTTCAATGCTTGGGTCTGTGGAAAATTCAGGCAATCTTAGGCTAGGCATACAGGCCAAATTATGGAATCAGACTTGGTATTTCCAGTTTAGGGCAAGTAACTCCTCCCAGTTTGCTCCAAAATGTTGCCTAAGAAACTAGAGAAGACAGTCTGCAAGAGTAAACTGCTAATGAAACTCTGAGTTCAGATCAATGAAGTGCGGAATGCCAACTGCTGAAATAATAAACACTATGCCAGTAGATTAACTCCCTCGTACTCAATTTTAATTCTGTTTGGCCTGAACCACCTCGTAAAGGTCAGAAATTCTTGGTGACAACTCCCACTCGAAACCTGCTGACAGCCGAAATTGAAATGCTGTTACTTTTGTCAGGCAACTTTGACCTTGGAGCTTTGCAAGGTCAACAAAATGGAGGAACACATGGTTGTTATTACCTTAGGCTGCCGTATGACTTTTCTGTACTACTAACAAATATTTGCTCTTGCACGAAAGGCTACTTATAACTGATGTATCAACATGCCCTGAACCATTCAGAGTAATGTTTAGCTGTCATTATTTTATGTCTGTACAGTATATCCAAATGTTACATTGTTTAGAAGAAACTATTAAACAAGTAAAAATATACTAGTCTTGATGATTTTTTAAAGACAGTTATAACATTGAAATAAAAACTCACTGGGGACAATTCCTCTACCAAAATTGATCTCATTTCAAGAATTACTGTTTTATGTTGAGGATAAGATCACAAAAAACACAGTGACACAGTAAACATCAATGAGCTAATCATTTGTGTCATATTTCCCCCACAGGCACCACAGCTCCAGCCCAACCACAACCAGACCTGACCACATCTCCCCCCACAGACACCACTCCGGGTCCAGCCTGCTGCCCAGAACAGTCAGCCCCTCAGAGATCTCCTCCCCGACAGACAGCTCCGGCTCTAAGACCCCCTCACCCCCCAGCTCCGAACACAGCCGGTCTTCTTCAAGATCCAGCTCCGAGAAGAGCGGCTCCTCCGACTCCCATACTGTACCTGACAGAGACTCCTCGCCTAGTATAGGATCGTCTGTGTCTAGTCTGAAAGATGAGACTGAGAGAACACGACAGCCTAGTGGAGAGAAAAGGATAAGCATCTCCCCCATCCATATAAGACAGAAGACTCCGGAGGAAATAAAAACAGATGAACTGGCCAAAGACATCATTGACAGGTGAGATTTTTCTTCTCTTTTGTCATTAGACATAAACAGACACTTTTCTGTTGTTTGTTTCAGTGGTTCTTTGGAAATGGATACTAGTAATTCAGGCTCATAGTTGTTACTGTTGGAGGTATACATAGTTCTTGGATTCTTAAACATGGGGCAAAATGCTAAATTTGTTTTTTTTTAATGTTTACCGAAGGAAAACATATTGTAGCAGGAGGGATTTAGTCTCCTGTCACCATATATATGAATTTGTTTGAGTAAGAATTAACACAGCATACCATAGTAAACATTATGCATTTGCTTTGCAAATGTTGTTACCTTTCTAGTTTATTACCCAATATATACCATGTGCAAATAAACAAACAAACAAACTCTTTTCTTCTGCAGATGTGACGACAAGAACCTGAAGGAAATCCTGATGGAGCCGAACCACAAGACGGCAGACTACATGCGGGAGTGTTTCCCCGAGGCCGTCCAACCCCGCCAGCCGTCCGAGCGGAGAAGAAGCAGCGCAGCTTCTCTCAGGGGGAAGTCTGGAGAGGGGAAAACAGCGCAGCCTCTGAAAACAAGGTAAGCACAAACTACTGGTAATGTGGCAATGGAAAATTACAGATTATTGGGGGGAAAACACATGTGTGAGATGAAAAGAGTTGTGTTTTATTTATTAGCATCAAAATCAACTATTTCCAGTAACGAAAGCAGCTTCTATAGAAATAAAGAAACCACAATAGAAAAATGGGGTACTTGTTCGATAGACATGCAGTATTTTACCATACATCTAGCAACAAGTTGATGCACAAGACTAGATTTTGCAACTGCATGTCTTTTTCCAACTTTTCCTTAGAGCAGTGTCAGTCATTCCCATCCCTCCCACAGTAGGAGCATCTAGCAACAAGTTGATATACACTATATGTTTTTCAAATACATGTATAAAGCAGTCATTCCCATTCCTCTCCCAGTAGGAGCCTGTCTGAGACCCAGCTGCCTCCCACCTCCCCGTACTTCACCGAGTCGTCTGCCAAGGCCAAGATGATGCTGGAAATGAGAAGACAGCAGGAGGAGGAGGAGGCTGAGGCTCTGGAGGAGGAGGAGGACCAGGAGGTGCTGGACCAGAAGAAGGTGGGTTTATTTGTCATCGTCAAGCAGCAAAGGCAGGTGAATGATCTCCAAGCAGATCCCTTTCGGTGGCAAGACAGTATCCATTAGCCAGAGGATTTTGTACGGCCACCGATGGCCAATGGACACTGCCTTGCCACCATATGATCTGCTTGGGGATTACATGTGAAGACAGTTGATTAGACCGTAGACCTGTAATCTCCAAGCAGATCTTTGGGTGGTTGCAATACAGTATCAAATTGGCAAGACAGTATCAAATTGGCCAGGCAGTATCCAATATGCCACCCAATGGTTACAGGTAGCCAATATAGTCTCCCCTTGCCCCAGAAAATCTGGACATTACAGACCTGTATACTGGTATCCATACTGAAAGTAGCATCTGTCCTTGTCAAGACTGATGGGATAGCTTTTCAGTAAGCTAAACTAGATTGAGCGTAAGAAATAGTCAGCGGAGAAAGACAGGACTGATACATCCATAGCACAAAACTCTGCTGATAGTTGTAACGTGCCCCCTTCCCCTTTCTCTTTTGGGTTCATGTTTATTCCAGAGGTTGATGAGTTCAGCACAACTTGGGTGGTAGGTGGCCAGGAAGTGTTTAATTCAGGCTGTGCCGTTTCCCCAGACTCGGCAACAGTAAACCACACTTGTCACACAGGTGGTTTCCTACTGTCACATATACAAAGGAAATTCTCCAACTTTTTTGTTAAGTCCTTCAAAAAGGCTGAGTCAGACAGTCTAACCAGATACAACACTGGTCAGTTTGCATTTAGAAAGATGCTGGAAAATAAGCTTGAATCAAAACTGTATCCTTACCACAATTGAACTACTAGTATCACATCTACATTCAAGAAACAAAAGCTATGGCTAAAGTAGTAGTAAGAGCCTTGATCACAATGAAAATTTTTTGGTGGTTGCATAGATCTAATTGAAACATCTTGTGCATAAGCTCTGTCCACACCTGTTGCTGTTGTTGTGAGGAGGAAATCACTTGTCTGCTAACATTTCCCCCCATTGTTTACTAAACATGTGCATGTCAGTTACCACCTGCAACCCCCAGGGACTTGGTACATCCCACCTGTGGCTAAACATTTTTGGGGTGGCTGAGTGGTGCCTTGAATGTTGTTCTTGTAATCGTGACAGTAATGTCCTTGTCTATTCCAAGCTGAAAATTGAATATCAAAGGTGTGAACTGAATGTTTTTAGTCTAGGTGCTGATGGTTGGACAATAGAGACAGTTTGTAATTACCGCCTCGTTTGGGCCCTCATTTGCATATCAAAATGCAGGTAGCTTGAAAGCTTCTTGCTTCAAAGAGCAGAAATTCACACGTTTTCTCTTTCAACTGGTGATTGGCCAATAGACTGATCACATGTTCATCAACAGACATTATGCATATAAGGCTCTAAGCTTGGCTTGGCAGTAAAAGACCCTAGGCTAACAGTTGCCTGCTGACCACGAGAGATCATGTTTCACGGTGTGTTCCACATGGAGAAGTGTGAAGACGTCGCTAGAAAGGTTTTGGAGGTGTCCTTATACTAGTATATGCCACCATTCACTATAGATGGAGGACTTGTACATCTATAGTCTGTGATCTCCGTTTTTCAGTGTCTAATAATGTTAGATATAGGGATTTTCTTTTACACAATCAGTATTGTCTCATCTTGCTTACATTTTGGTGTCCATCAGGCACCTTCCTCAGAGCTTCTGACTGGAGTTCTGCTTCTCGCCGCTATATCTAGCCAATTTAGGTGGAGCTTTGCAGCAAGAACACAGTCCCAAATGTGGCTGAATTTGTAATGTACCCCCCTCGTCCCAGTTCATCTGGTTGTTAACTGGTTGTGTAAAAGAAAATCCCTATATCCTATGTTTTACCAACCTGATGAAACTATTTTCGGAAGTGTCTGACGTTGTTCTGCCCCCCTCTCCCTCAGATGGAGCTGATTGACAGCATCAGTAAGAAGCTGGAGAACCTGCGGAAGGCGGAGGACCTGATCCGGGAGGAGATCGAGCTCAACAACGAGCTGGGACAGCAGGTGAGAGAACTGAGCACAAGAAATGACAACATTTTTAGCATAACCGCGTCATAGAATTGCCTTTGAGAATTACCCATCCACTCCATCTAAAACCTGCCTGTACTGCAGTTTCTGACACCAGTGAAGTGAAACTAACCATAGAACACCACAGTAGACATACCTGGTATACACATATACAGGTACATACAGTTAGACATTCATGTGTGTGTGTAAATGTTACTCTTTATTTGTTTTTGTGTAACATGTGAATACATATATCAATATATAAGAGATCAATATCAGTACATGTAGTAAGAATTGAACAGATTATATCAATTCTTGACATCCTTGATGTGTTTAGATTGCTAACAAGCATCTTTCTCACGCAAAGGTGACAGAGTGGGCGAAGGACAAGACGAAGTCTAATGAGTTTGACAAGTACCAGCGGTTTGTGGATGAGCTGGACAAGATCACCAACCTGCTGCTGAGTCTGTCGGGTCGTCTCGCCAGGGCACAGAACGCCCTGCAGAACATAGAGGAGGGAACGGACCCAGCTGAGAAGGTGGGGAAAAATTGTACACTTCACAGTACTGATTTAGTAGGATACCAAAGTACTGGCTGGATTTAGCACCCACATATACAGGTGTACCCACACCCATGGCCAGAATTCAGTCCAGATTTGTGTAGTCTGAAAATAGTTTAATCGGGGTGGTAGAACTAGAACACGGGATGCTGAGATGTGTATGTCTCTCACGTTGCAAAAGCACCACCTACAGTGGCAACATATTGAAACAAGTTTTAGTACTGTACTCCAGTCAGAAGCTCAGAGAAAGATATCTGATAGATTTGGCATCAAAACCTAAGCAAAGAGAGAAGTACTGGTTGTGTGTAAGAAAGTCTGATATCCTAGATTTCTTTTGTAGACTCTATTCCAACCCGCCTGTGTCTCTCTCTGCAGAGGGAACTGCAGGACAAGCGTGACCGCCTCTCGGACCAGTACGACGACGCCAAGAAGCTGAAGGAGAACATCGACAACCGGAAGGACGCCGTCTCCAAGATCCTGTCCGAGTACTTCAATGAGGAGCAGTTTGCCGACTTCGAGCACTTCATCAAGATGAAGTCACAGCTCATCATGGAGTCCCGCGAGCTGGACGACAAGATCAAGCTCGGGGAGGAACAGCTGAGGTGCCTGCGGGAGAACCTGTCCATGGAGACGTGAAGAAGCATTGTCATTACCACGGCAACAGGGTTTCCATGGTGACCCAGTTTCCCTGGCGACCGGCTCCTCCAGTTTGTAGAGACTTGTACAGAAGTGATCATGATCATCAACGAGAACAGCAAATCTGAAACACCTTCTTCTGGTTGTAACTAAGTTTTCTCAGTCAGGACTTCCTGAAAACCACAGCTTTTCAAGCACTAGCTGCAGGACCATTGTGAGTCAGTAGGGGGCAGCAGACAGAAGGGGAGTGCTTGCCTCTGTTTGTCCCTTGTGTTAGAAATGCCAAACTTGAACATATTTGACAAAGAAGAGATAATAATTATGACCTATGTATGAATCTTTCATGATAGTGAAATTTTTGTTTGTCCACACATCTCACAGCATTGTTGTTGTTGTTGTGCACATAACCTGAAGGAAAATTTGTTCCTTTTGTACAGAATTATGTATAATGTAAGAAGTGATCATTGTGTCTTAGCCTGTGATTTTGTGCTGTCTGTGCAAAGTGCCAAGGAAGTTAGCAAGTGGGCAGAACTTCAAATTTTATAGTGACTCTTTTGGTAGAGAGAGAGAAGAGATATTCTGTCCACCGCTATTGTATTATTGTAAATATGGACTGTATTTCCGTCGTGCTAGCAATAAGAGGCCTGTAGGCATGTGAGAATGGTTGGAGGCTGTTTTCGCCGGCTTGTTGTATAGAGTAAGACATAACATATGCTGCTTGGTGTGGTCTTCCCGTGATTTGTCCTCGACTTGCATCCCATCCTGACGTATTTTGGAGGCGATATCCACACCACATGCCTGTGATGACTTAGGGACTGTGTCACAGGTTCAACGTTTTAGGCCACACCAATTCATTTCCTTGGTTCTCGGACAACGTAAAGTAAAAGTGAAGCAAAAGGTTAAGATTAAAACACTGAAAAGAAAACTTAAAAATTTTTGCTCCCTGAACCACAGCATAAACCTCAGGCTCTATATTTCCATTATAACGTTATTTTCCTTCTAAATCTGAGAACCAACAATAGGAATTGGTGTGGCCTTAACTAAGCCAATGCAATTATTTTGGATGTATTATTTCCATATTATATGTATATAGGAACATTGTGGGTTGTGCCCCACTCTAGAAAGTTGAGTTTGTTGCCAATGAGTAAATGACCACAGGAAAAGTGCCTGAAGAAACCTGGAAAATTCTTGGTGCTCTTCTCTCATAAAGTAGTTGAAAAACTAATTTCTGTCATTCAGTTTTTGTTGTTTTAGTTCAGGTTCTGTTCTGCCTTATGTAGTTTCACAGCAGAGGTTGTTTTAATTTCTTTGAAGTAACGAAATTTTCTCAGCTGCAAGCCTTGAAGAACTTTGGCATAAAGACGAAGAAAAAACAATAGTTGTGTAGAATTGCAACTAGCTTGAGTAGTTCACTCTGGACAGAATGAGATCAATATTGTATAGAAACTGAAATCCGTTCCAGATCTTAGGAATTCTACAGAATTCACAAAAACTCCATTTACCATGCGAAGTAGCAGATCATGAAAGTACTGTGTAAAACGCTACTTTTCCATGCCTAGATGGTATTTTTAGAACCATGGAGGCCACTGAAGGTACACCCATCTATTTGGTACTCGGGTAAAACAAATTGTGGAACTGTCAGAGTAGGCCACATGTAGACAGTGTAAGCTCCGTGCCTGTGTGTAAAACTGTTCCACTGTAAATCATCACCTTTTCTAGAGGTCTCATATACATGCGCTCTGTGTTTCAAAACTTCAAAAGGCACTTGAAGAAATTTTCCACTCTCTGAAGTCTGTATATTTTTGTAAAACTTAAAAAAGCCTTTGTCTTGTACATGGTCTAACTGCAGCAATTTCTTGTGGAGAGAGACAAAAGAAATTCAAATTGTGTATTTTACATGGCTGGCATGGAGAACCCAAGTGCACATGTGAAGAAGGGAAGCTTCCTTTAATCCCCAAAGTGGATGCAACATTACCCATGGTTGGTCAGAAGTGATGTAACGTTATCAGTGATTGGCCAGACTTTTGAAGTGTTGCGTGCAAGACTAGAGAATGATTGACAGCGCTGCCTACAGACTACAGGAAAATAAAGTGTGCTGTATAATGAACATGCATCGACTCCACTTATTATCTTGGAGCAATATCTATTCTGCCCACACACACAACACACACTTATTCCCCTGGTTGTCAAAACATTCTGAAGTAGACTCGAACAAGGGGAACAATTAGTCAAGAACAGAGGGATGGGAGAAAAACTTTTCCAGTTTTGTAGCAGTAAAGTAAAGTTTCTTGTAGCCTATTCCAATGATACACAACTCAATAAGACACCAGACACTATTTGGAGACCGAGATATGATAACATGTTTATTTGAATATACATGTAAGTATATAATGCAGCATAATTATGTCAAGAATATCTGTTCCCTTTAATCCACTATTGTCAAACCAGGTTAATTCATTGCACACCTTTGGAAAACATTCTTGCAGATGAAACTACATACAACATCACAAGTTCACTTGATTGTGAAAAGTGAACAGTTGAATTTCCAACATGATTTACATACAAACTTCACTACTAGAGTGTTCTAGAAGGCCAATACCTCACCTCTAACAATGAATATAACGTTATATATTTTTCTTTAAATAACCTCTATACCTTCCTTTTAATTGCAAATTTGTTAAGTACTCAAGACTTCTAGAAGACAATTCATCTGAGCTTAAGTTCTAAGACCGCACCTTTTTTTCTCTGAAATATTCTTCTCTCCCAAATTCTACACCTTCAATGTTGTGTAGAACTGCACCCTATCTAATTGTCTTGCTGCATTGTCTTACAACTATCTCATTACATCATCTCATCATGTGTCCAAGATAGCTTCAGTGTTGTCATGGTGATGCGATGGAGGCCAGTGGGTTGGTGACAGTCGGGTTGATGGCGTCAAAGGCAATGGTGATCTTCTGCCTCTTGGGGACAAATTGCCTGTAGGGGAGAGTCAAAATTGATATCAACAGTAAGAAATGAAAATTTGGACCAACCTGTTGTCTTCTCTTGAGCCACGGTAATTCTATGTTTACCAACCGAGGCAAAGGGAGAAGACATCGACATCTTTACAACATTCATGATAACTATTACGAGCCTTGTAGCTATTACACAAACTTTCAAGATACATGCATAATCACAATCAAGTTAAATACAGAAGGCTTGCCAGTAAAGTTAATCAAAATCCAAACATTTTCTTCCAAATTCCAGCATTTCCAAATTCAATCATAAATTACCCACATAGATACTGATAATGATGAACAGATCCCTCTTCTAACAAGAGAGACAAGTTTCTATCATTATGGAGAAGAACAGATGAAGTTTCTGTACTGACGTGTATTTGACTCCAGCCAGGTCCAACAGTCTGCGTGATGCTGTCATCTCTGGCGTGTGGTGGTACTTGTCGGACACAAACATGATCTCTCGGATTCCAGACTGTCAAGAAAAAGAACATATGGTTCAAGAAGTGACAACACACAAAAGCTATATGATATAAACTGCTGTATATCACTGTTGCTTTCATCAGGAAAAAATTCATCTAAGTGTTGCCGAAAATTCAGAGACACTTGTTCAGCAGTTTAGCTCCCAAAATTAAGGAGCTTTTATACTACATGTAATACAGATTTACCATACGTACCTGTATCACCAGCTTGGCACACTCATTACAAGGGAAGAGGGCCACATACATCTTACAGCCCTTCACATCGGCCGAGTTCTTGTTCAGGATGGCATTTAACTCTGCATGGCACACTGATAACAGGAGGGGAAAACATTAGGCTCACTGTTATGCTCTTAGGCTGACCAAAAAGCTACTGGTAATCTTCACTTGTCATCACAAGACAGATACTGAGTCCAGTACATATAGGCTCAAGTACGGCTTGTTTCTTCTCTTCATGTCTCTCAGACCACACCAACTCATTTCTTTCATTCTTAGATATTTTTTGGCATGGAAACAGAGGGAAGGCACGAAATTTTGAATTTGACTGTTTTCACTTCCTAAAATCTAGCCTGGTTACCATACTCAACGGGTCAGCTTTGGGGGTGTTCCGGCCGGCCAGAGGTTGTTTGGCACTCGATAGGACCCACGCCTAAACTCCTATCAGGTGCCAAACAACCCCTGGCTGGGCTACTGGACACATTAGCCACCTAATGGACACTCCTCTGGGCAATGGATACTACCTTGCCTGCTTGCCACCATATGATCTGCTTGGAGATTAACGTACCATACGGGTACTTGGTGTCCAGTCTGTCCTCTGCTGTCCTGCTCCAGGGTAACTTGTCATCACTGCAGCCGTTCGGCATCCCGTTGTACCCGATACCCACAATCTTCTTCTCCGAGTTCACGATGCATGCTCCAACCTGTGTGGAGTCGCCCAAATAATCTGAGACAAAATTTCAACTGCCACTATATTACTAGGTTTTTATCTATATTAAACAGGGCAACTCTAATGCTGAGAACTATTTATCATTTATCATCAAAGAAATTAACCTTACTGCAATATAATAGATGCTACATCTTTTTAATTGTGTTGTATTTTCAAATAAGGTATCCAAATTAAGCTACGTTTTTAATAGATAAATACTACAAGTCTTAACACTACTGTTAGTGTCATATCCTGTGTAATTTTATGGTCCAAAAACTGGTCAGTTATTCTAATGACCTAGCCTCCTTTGCAGTCTTGTTGGGAGCGCGAAACCTTCTCTCCGTGGCAAAAACTCCCTCGGTAGCAAATCGTCCCTCGCGGCCGCATATTACTCGCGTCGCTCGGAGAAAAAATAACGCCGACGCCCAACAAGACTGCGAAGGAGGCTACTAATGACCGACCAATTTTGAGATTACAGCCTGATAACCAATGGGAAATGGAGCCTTCTAATTGGTCGACGTCTTCTGGCTATATGATAATATGCAATAAAGTTCATTGTCATTATATAATTTGACTGTACCTGTGAACTGGGGTCCTTACTCCTCTGTGCTGACAGGAAGGCCACAGCCATGAAGTACTCGTCCCACTCCAGGTAGTCCGAACGCTTCTTGTTCAGGTCAACCCTAGTAAGGGAGGGGACATGTATTATGAAAGTGATCTTTTGTCGTATCAGTTGTGTCAACATAGTAAAGTGTCTTGAATAGCGGCTATTTGGACTTTCTATCAAAACCCAGTCTAGACTCCGTGCAGCTCCTTTTTTTCAGATTGGACTGTTTTTTCAGCCTCCTGAACTGGACAAGTTTTTCCGCCAACCCTCACGGGGAGTAGAGTGTATTTTGATATCTTGTAATGTGCCCTACCTCATTTATCGCCCAAGCTATTCATCGATAAAGTGTGACTCTCCTCAAAGACGGTCCACTGTTACCCGTATCACTTTCAACACACCGACGGTAGCCTGGGATTCGAACCCTAGACCGGAACACCAGCGACCTTTTTACTTCCTATACTAGATCGAGTCTGGTTTATACAAAACTTACTGCCCATTACTGTTACACGTCTTCTTGTCTGGGGTTGAACAGTTGTCTGAGACTCCCCCAGCTCTTCTCTTCCGACTCGGTGTGTCCATGAGGTCTGTAGAGTTGCCGTTCTCCGTGCACTTTGACTTCTGTCGACTTTCTGCTGTCGCCATTCCTGTGTGTTATCGAATTTTTGGCGGGAAATGTGAGGTCAAAGTTCGAAGCCAGGCCTGTGTATGAGCGACATCTAGCGGATGGCTCTAGAATGAAACGTCACGATTGTCCCAGGATACAAGAGGATATTGTGAAAACTTTTAATAGACTACGGAATTTTTTATGTGGTGCATTGACACTTACATTGTTAGCAACTATGTGTTGCCTTGTGTAACAAATGTCATATCAAAATTTTCAACTTTGTAAAGATGATTGATAGCACACGTATGGAAAAACCTCCTTGCCAGTATGTTGGTCGATGTACTATGATTTTGTTTCAACAAGGCCTAAAGAGCTACAACTTGGTTAGCGTCTTTTTCTCGTCATAAGAAAATTGACGAGAAGTGCAGATGGATTTAAGATAAGCGTCAAACAAGAGACGTCTGAGCATTCTGAGTCACTCACTACTAGTGTGTACGTGTACATGGACCCGTATTCGTTCGGAACTTTTCGTCAGACGGTTGTACTTTGCACCGCAGTGCATTCGGCCGTCACTATCAACTTGAAGTCAATGACCCGTACACTGCACTTTTACGGAAATAACCTTTTAAAGAATTGAAAGGGTACTTTTATCTCCTTCACCTAATGCAACGAGCAAAACAAGCTATAAATTGGGTTAGATATCGAAATATGTTGTTTTTGGTGGCGTTTTGTAAAAAAAATCCAAACTTGAAAAAAATAGGATGAATTATTGAATACTTTGCCACTTCAATTATTTGGCCAGCTATTAAATCTGACAAATCATACATATTTCTGCAAGTTTCGAATTCCTCCAATCAAAGGTGTCAGTTCTAGTGTAACATTGACACACATATCAATCATCCTACTCTCCAAGCAGATGTTGGGGGCGCAAGTGACATTTTCCCGAGATAGATAGCATCTCACTTTCAGAAAACGTCACCCTAACATCTACTTGGAGATTGATATCATAACCCCTTTCCTTACACACGGTACACGCCCCGTTCTGGGCTGTTGACCTACAAGTTATGTATCTGCGGTGCGAAAGTAATCAGGCAAACTTGTCCTACGGCATTATGCACCTTCCAGAGACAGCTACTCACTTTCAAAAGACGTCACCCTAACATCTACTTGGAGGTTGATATTATCATCCCTTTCCCTGCATTTAAGGTACACGCCCGTTCTGGGTTGTTGACCTACAAGTTATTTGTTTCTCGGTGAAGAAGCAATCACGCACATGTTGCACTTGATCCTACCACATTATGCACCTCACAGAGGTGCTCACTACTCACTTTCAGAAGACGTCACCTTAACATCAACTTGGAGATTGATATTACTTTTTTTATCAAGGAGCTTTAATGTTATGATCCCTTTCCCTGCAAGGTACCCCGTTCTGGGTTGTTGACCTACAAGTTATTTGTTTCTCAGCGCGGAAGCAATCACATACACACACTTGTCCCACCGCATTATGCACATACCTGTCCCCCGGCCAGGCCTCTAGCAAACCCGGGCCGCCCACGGAAGTGGTGACGTGCTACTGTTACCTGTGGCCAACAGGTGCCAGTGGGTGCGCACGCTGTTGGGTTAGTCTCCACCAAATTATAACAACGCGGGTTCGAAAAAAAAGGAAAATTTAGCCATCGCATAGCACCGCACAGTTCATTTGTCCGATTCTTAAGGGGAAAATTAACCTTCCGTGGACCAAGGAGGTTCTTTTTGAACCTCCTTGCGTGGACTGACTCTCCTGGCTAACTATTTCCCTTCTTTTATACCAAATTCTACGTTCCATACCCCCGTAGGAAGGCCTGGTGGAGGCTACTGTTGGGTTATCGGGAACACCCTTCTACGTTTCCATGGCAACGCCGCGCGTAATTCATGACGAGCGTCTTTGCGAGAATTTCCGCTAGCTTCGTTTTTAAGCCGTTGAGCTATTCGCGACCTAGATATTTTGTTACACATATAGACATTGTGGCATTTTTAGACTTTTTTTCTATTAAGCGACAACGATTTTTTGTTGCGAACTTATTCAACGTTACTTATTCACAAATGAACATGATCCATTCTAAATTGTTAACGTTAGTCATCGATAGATGAACGAATTTCCATACCCAAAACAACAGTGTTAATTTTCTCCAAGTATTAAAATCTAGATCTTGAAGTCTGACGTAAATAATATTGACATTGCTCATAAAAATCAACATAGCTATCGTCTCACATCTTGTAGATAAAGTTTCGAAGTTAGCAGTGTGCAAGTTTACAACAGCGAAGAAAGAGAAGGACCAGACAGTCTGGAACGAAGTTTCCCAAACGCGACGGTAAATTTGCTTTTCTCTAGCGGGCGCTAGAGGACCGAGTCAGGCGCGGAGATCTCGCGGTCTCTCTCTGCGGCTAGCCCAGAAATTTTTGCCTCTGTGCGTTATGCGTGTTGACCATCTGACGTCACCACTCCGTTTCCTCACGGAATTCCAGTCCCCAAATATGGCATAATTGGATTAAGTTTCGCATTCTCTCATTGGGCACGGCTATCAGGTAATCAATACAGGGTGACCGCTGGTATTCTTATGCAAATTACGCTATGCAAACCAATGGCTGCCATTTTGGCTTCGCATACTTCTGGTCAGAGACCCCATAGCCGTTACAAAATATGCCTAGTGAGTTCCGTCACCTCGATGAGATATTGCCATTTTAAAGTTTTGGAAAGTTTTGTTTTCCGGAGTAGGTACAGTCTGAATGGTGGTGATAGAAACAAATTTTTAGGTGTGTGGTGAGTAAGCTTGTACTTTCACTTACATGTCAATCACTGTTTTTTTAAATCTTATTTGACTGATTTGATATCAGATGTGACCAATTGGTATTGATTTATTAGTATTATTCACAAGTGAAACAATACTGATGATTTCACAAGAAAGGTGATACATTTTTAGTCGTTATGTTGTTTATTCATACGCTTAGCCAATGCAGGCCATAGAAAAGAAATTGAATCATTGAATCTCTTTATTCTTAGTCTTGCAAAAAATACTAGTATATAAAAACTTGAGTTTAATTCTGGTCCCTCTTTGGACTAGGATGGTTTGGCAAAATTTGTTAGATTGGAAAATCAGTAACATTAACGTTAAGTAATAAGAAGAGTATTCCCAATTTTGTCCAGTTGTTGATTACCATTGCACTTTCCTTTATCGTCGCCACTTGTTAATCAGCCTTTTCTTTAACTTTCAGTGGAATTTTGATATTGAACAGCAATATTGTAAATGTATGTCTTGATCTAGTTTTAAAAGTCCAATATTTCTATTGTCTGTGTGTTGTGGTTGACAGAGCATATCAAATGGTGTCGCGTATCATCTTATGGGACCTCCTGCACCATGTAAATTGATATCCACCTATGGGGTCGTGTATTTGTAAGTGGTGCCAAGTCAAGATGGAGGACCAGTGATGAGTACTACCGGAGTTTTCTGTATTTCTGGCCGGGAAAACAGGCGCTAGATCTGCGTATGGGCGCCTCGACGTGATGCACCGCACAAACGGAGAGCTTCCCTTGCCGCCAGGGTGGCAGGAGGCGCGCGATCTGGACGGAAAAGTCTACTTTATAGACCACAACACCAGGACAACGACATGGGTCGACCCGCGAGACAGGTACGGAGAGAGCGCCCCGAATTCCGGTGGATTTTACCCGCCGTATTTGCCAGGATATCTCGCCGATCCCTTGGCTACCTATCTACTTCTGTGTGGTGTAGAGTCTTTTGTGTCTGCGTTAAGTAGTTTTGTCGGGATTTAAGGCAGATCGGCTGTGGAAAGTGCGATGAAATGTGGGTGCATCCGCGGAAGCCCAGTGTCGGTTTGTATACACACACACATCAACAGTCCACACTTTCTACTCGCCAAACCGTCCAAGTATTTGAATATCTAGTTTAGTGTGTGCGATGTTTTGTTCTTACTGTGCAGTGAACCCCCTTAAGTTTTTTGTGTGTTTGTCATGTGAGTTGTGCTACTTTGACGCCACAACAAAGGATCTGTCCCCCTCCTGACAAACGTGTTTGGAGAGAGTGAGAGATCCCGGGTTCAGATGGGGAGGGGGGCATCGAGGAGAAAGAAAAGAGGGAAATGCCCTCCGGGAAAGAATGGTCGTGGAATTCGCCGAAAATACACAGAAATGCTGGCCAGTTTCCTTGATTGGGGCTCCTCGGAATTCGAAGGATGTCGTCTGTTGAGTCTGTGTTGACATAGATTGTTGGAGAAGTTGTCGGGAAGGTGCGAGGTTTGGGTCCCGAGTGTTGGGGGAGGGGAGGCACCAAGTCTCGTGTTTACTCGCCAAAACTTGGCCTACATTCAACAATCCGGTATCACAAAACGCTTATTATTGCATACAACAACATCTAATTCAACTACCACTCTATCTGATTGTGTCTGTATTGTACGTCTGATGTGAAGAAAAAATGCACCGTTTGATAAAGGTGGCCAATCACAAATGTGGCAATGTCAACAATCATTAGCAAACTGAGAAGTGCCATCAAAATTCCTGTTAACAGCCACACATTCGGCGGTACAGAGAAAACAATCTTTCAGAAGATAACACCACACTTCATTTTCCCCCAGTTCTATAGTATCAGATTGACTTGTTTTGTGTTCCCCCATGGGGCAGTGTACAGCATTAACTGGATAGTGTTAACTTACTGAAGATCTAATTTATGTCTGTCAAACTTGTCTCACCTAATTTTCTCCCAGTGTGTTTTCATACACCAAAAAGTAGTATATGTACTTCATGATATAATGTCCAGATTTGTGTGTGTGATTTGTATTGGGGTTGTCCACACTAATGGCAGATGGACCTGGCATCAAGCCAGACCATTGTGGTACAAAATTACCCCTTGGTATGCATTCCAATTGGTCTTTATCATTTTTGTCTACTTTACTGTATATGCTCAAATATCTACAGTCGTTATAGCTGTAGGTTTCAAAGTGATGTGTTTTGTTGTTGCATAAGTTGTGTAGCCATGTGTGAATTTGAATACTGTGCGTATCATAGACAGTCACAAAAATGTTGTATATTCAGGTATTTACAGTACAGTACATTTAATAGTGAAAGGTAAATACGCACTTGGTTTGCAGCATCTTTTTGCCTTACTCTACAATGTTGTTTATCCCATATGGGAGGAATGATTTTGAATTTCCCAAATTTTCTCACTCTTCTGATATTTTTGTACCTGCCAATCATGTGCATGTGGCTGTTGTCAGGTCGGGAGAGGGGTAAGCCAGATTGTGGGATCTCCATGTTGGCCTGCTAGTTGTTCAGATTCCTTTCCAATGATGAAACATTCCTCCACATCTGTAGGGACAGTCTGGGGGTAATAACATGACCACAGAAATCCCTGCTGGATTGAGCTGAGGAATCTTTGAAAAGTATAGTCTTACAAACAAATACAGTCATGTTGTTCTATAGCAAAAGAAGTCATATTACAGTAATGTTATATCAAACTTTTAAAGAGTTTGACTACTATTTCTTGTATGTAGAACTTACTGTGAGATATGAAAAGACAAAAAGCTACAACAAAGTGAGGCCATCTCTGTCCTATTTACAATTAGTACAGTCCAGTAGTAATTGTTGAATACCAGAGGCTTGCTAAAGCAGCACTGTTAACGTTGTCCCGCACATATTTGAGATAAGTTCAGGGTTACTTGAGCCACGGTCCTTAGGGTTCAATCATCAAGCTGGTCAGGCAAGCCTAAATACACGACACATGAGTCACCAACCCTACTCTACTAATGCAAGGTACGGTCACTGATATCTGGGTAGATAGGAGAGGTGAGGAAGGGATAGTTTGTCTTCTTTTGTTGTGCCATCAGTGTGTTATTTTTGTCCATTAGAGAACTTTGTTTTACTTTTGAAAAGTACATGTTGTACAGCCCTCCCCTTCCTGTAGACTCCTGGCATAAAATTGTGTCAAGGTGAAAAGAAACTTGACATCAGACTCATTGTTTCCAAGTTCTAAAATTAGCCATGCGGTCCTGCATGATTGGCCTTGTAGTCATTTCCTTTTCAACGTCTGTTCTCTGTTAGTTGGTCGCTTCTGGAATGTAGCAAGGGTTCAAAGTATTCTGACTCACTGTCACTCAGTCTATGACAGTCTACCTCAAGAAGCAGTGGTCCAAAACAGCAATTTTGAGAGTCACTCAAAGAACTCTTTTGAATTTGAAACAGTAGAGAATCTTATAGGGAATGTGAAAAATGTTGTAGAGTTGGCTTTATTTCCCAAAGAGTATATAATGTAGGCAAGATGCTTTCATCCATTTGGGATGCTTAGGTCATGTCCATGCATTTGAGCTGGATAGGGCATGCTACAAGTAGCACCTACATCTGTACTCTGTTGCACAGTATTGTAGGTGTCAGAATATTGCTCTGTCCTGTGAAATATTGTTTACATAGACACATGTGGTGTAAAAGTTGCAGAGATGTGGGGAAAGTGGGAGGGGTGTGTTTTTGGAAGGCACCATTTGCAAATAGGAGGGCAACAAGTTTCTTGCTTGTTCAGCCCCAGTCCTTATGATTGTATATCATATCAGCTAGCCCAGTAGTGTTACCTTGGTTGATCAAACATTTGCAGTTATTGATCTGTTTGCCTTACAAAGGCCAGTCTAACCTGGCTAGAAGGGTCACAGTGGATTTTATTGCCTGTCTAAAGGTAGCAAACTGAAATGTTAGCATGAAAGTTCTTCTGTGTTGGTCGGTAAATGTTACAACAATATCATGGAAAAGGTTGAACCACATGTAGCACAGCAATAAAATGTTAATGTGAGGTCATTTTGTAAGTTAATGTGAGGTCATTTGTAAGTTTACAAGTAAGATTGTCAGAAAGAGAAAAGGTTTTGTTTAGTTACTAAGTTAGTAACAAAAATGTTACACTACAGGTATTCTATCAATAGATACTCTGTCTATGTACAATTGTGGGCTGGTAACTATTGTATATACCGGTATGACCATGTGCTCTTTTCTATTCTGATGGTTGTGATTGACATATGACACTCAATGCAGTACTCACCACAGCCGTGGTCAATGCTCTTTACTGGCTATTTAAAGCACCATTGGCATTACATAACGATTCCAAGGATTGGCTTCAAACAATGCACATACAATGATGGTACACTTGAGCGGATCAGAGAGCAGTTTAGTGAGAGCATCAGGTCTATAATTACTGTGTGCTGAGAGGACTGTGGTGTGGTCAGTGAAGGTGAGAAGTGTGTTTGAAGTGGTCATGCAGCTGCTTCTGTCCCGGACACTTCTGTATCAAGGACTCTCCTGTTTTAGGTGACCTAAAACAAAAGGTTGTAGATTTTGGTACAAGAGCACTTTTTTTCGTCAATGTCATGTTCATGATTTAATGACTGTATCCTTTCTTCTCTTGTTAAACAGAGGTAAAGTTAAACAGTGTTATGCCAAATCCACTTCATTACAATAAAAGACTGTGTGCCTTTTCACATGCACTTAGACAAAAACTTGTTGTATTACATGTACATACTACATGTACATACATTGGGTTTTCTGCACAAAACAGGAAGCTTTTGCTTTTTGCTGCCCTTTTCGTCTGTGTTCACAGATTATCAATTTGTGCTCCATTGCTGTCAGACCTACACAATCATATATATTTTGAGTACCCAGTGTACACACTTGGCTCGTGGGATAGACTATTCTTAACCTCCTTGTTCAGCAGTGAGTAAAACGGCCATTTGTAGCCTTGGAAAAGAGCTCAAGGCATTCAAGTAGAGCTTAAAGGGCAGTGAACAATAAATCATGGGGATCAAGGATACATTTACCCAGCTTAACATACCAGCAGGGATTACATCCTCACAGTACAGTTTGGAGTTGTGTAACTATCGATATTCACACATTGATTGGTGCCCTGAGAGCGTTAGTCACAACTCTTGGTGTATGACCCTTCAGTGTATGGCTGGCTGATATTGGTTGTTCCAGGGGTGTGTGGTTGTGTGGGCAGGGATTTGGCATAACTGGATAAAAGATAATTCCATTTCTTTCTTCTAGAGAAATATGTCTGCTGTTTTAGAGCAACTGTATTGTTAAGTTTTGAAAAATAAGTTGCTACGGAAAGAAACTTAGGTAACAGTCAGAAGAAGTTTTGAGAGTTGAAAACAAGTGAAGAAGTTTTGCAGTTGTATTGGGTGTTTTGCATATAATCGTATTGATCTGTGGAAAGAGTGCTATCCTGGTTTATGCAAAGCCACCACTCCAGGTACATGTAATTCAATCAGTCGATCATCTGTAGGTAGCTATCAATTTACTTACAGGTATGCCTCCAAGTAATCAAATTTGACTTCTGCCCACCTTGGTATTTATGATGGTGGTTTGTGCAAACATTTGCCTTGCCCCCAGCCAGGTTGTCCCACTGAACTAATGGCAGGAGTAACCGGTCATCAGGTACATTAGTGGAGGAGCTGTAAAACCTGGTATGTCGTGTATGCACATCAAACTTCTACTGACACTCGAACCAGTGCAAAGTCCTGTGGGCCAGGCTTACAGGCTCTAAAAGTGCAGAGATCTTAGGTTGTAAAATTGTATTGTCTCACCAAGCACAGCAAGCCAGAGCCAGGACTAAGGTGCTTTCATTTGAGATTCTGCGACTAGA